AGATAGATAGATAGATAGATAGATAGATAGATAGATAGATAGATAGACAGATAGACAGACAGTGCAGATTAGTTTAAAAGTGTATCCTGCTGCATAAAAAGAGACGAAAGGAAAATATATTTTAAATATTCCTCAGTTAATTGGAAGTGATGAAGTTATTAGCTCAGTTAATCAATAAAATTTATTGTAGACTCAGGCCACTATCAGTGTTTCCACTTTATATATTTATAATGCCTGCCTTTATTTTGAAGGGAAGCTTCCTTCCACAGGACTTGCCAGGAAGCATCAGTTAACAGCACTGGTGGATAAGAAAGATGCCAAGACTTGAATTGCTTTGTCTGGATGTGGTCCAGCCACAACTCTACCATGTTCAAAATCTCTCTACTGTGACTTATACATGACTCTTAATTGAAACAGAAAAAGAAAGTATGAAAGGGAGACAGTCTTTTCCAGACAGGTTGGACTTCCTGCCTCATAATTTTCAGCCACACTTGTGGTAATGAATACATATATTTATTTATTTTTTTAAAAAATAAATTTTATTAAAGTTTTACAGTTAAAAAAAAACACAAATCATTTACAATTTTTGCAATACATTGTAGAATCAGTTTTTTCCATCTTTCATGATTCATATCTATATACATATAAACATTAATATTTACATTGTATATTATCTATTATTCCTGTTATCTATCCAAGTATATACCGTAGATTCTCCCAGACTGTATAGAATTCTCTTTTTTCTTTCTTTTGCAACTCCATAGTAAGCTTATTCATTTTCGCACAATCCATAATTTTTTAAGTTAACATATTATCCTTGGGATTACACTTTGCCTTCCAATTTTGAACATAGGTTATTCTCGCTGCTGTCAGAATATGTATTATGAGATATTCGGTTTCTTTTTTATATTTGCCTCTAATCCCTAATAAAAACATTGAATACATATATTTAATTTGACAAGTTGATGCAAGCTTCTGCATATATGAAAACTGATGGTTCATAATTCATATCTTGACTTATTCAAATGTTTATTAGAAAAACTAGAATATATATATAGATATATAGATATAGATATGTGTGTGTGTGTATGCGTGCACATATATACACATATAGGAGATTACTAAAAAAAAGAAAGCTTTTATTACAGAACAAAAAGAAGTAACTTCAGATTCTCCATAATAGAGACGTTGAAACCACATAAATATAAAAAACAGAATTCATTTCTCTATCCTGTTTAAGTTTTCAACTTCCTTCCCAATTTCATGGAATCTATTAGTTAAGTCTCCAACAATTTCATTTTCATGAAGTTACTTACAGAGGAGTCACTACTGTACAGCCAACAAAGTAAAAATAGAGTCTTGTTCCAGTGATTTTATTTTTATGACAACCATTCGTCATCTGGGAAATACAGAAATCCATTTCTGGTATATTTACCAAATACTGTAGAAATTCAGTGGCAAATATTTAATTGATTTTCAATACTATATTTTTGCCAGTTCAAATATAAATTATTTTTAGACATTTCCAAAATGATTTAATCATTTGATAATTTCAGTGACTTCTCTATCTTGAAGCCTTCCTCCCTCCCTCCCTCCCTCCCTCCCTCCCTCCCTTTCTTCTTCCCTCCCTCCCTTCCCTCCTTCCTTTCTTTTTCATAGAATTATAGAGTAATCCTTTATATGTTTAAGAATCCCAAAGAATTTCTTAGTTAGTGAAAAAGAAACAACTCTTCAGAAAAATGTATTGCATATAGTTGAAATCAATATATTTCATTTTAAAATCACACAAGTCATCACAAAGGAAATTTAAAGAATACACATAATGTGCTGAATAAAGTGTTTGCCTTGCTATTTCCCCATTCTGCAAAGTGCATTGTCTGAAAAGAGTAGACTCAAGTGTACAGAAATACTTATCTAATGACAATTTAAAAAATGATTATTACCGACATAAGAAAAGTAACATTTCCTAAATAGGGCGAACCCTCATTGTCCATTTCCTTAAGAAATATCTGGAAAGGATCTGATAAGATTCTGCAGTTTTCCCTGGGTCAGAGGGCATTGTCTTCTACTTTATTTCACCAGCCAGTAATAAAGCCAGACATGCATTAGCGTTGCCATACAGGAAACCCAGCATGGCCTTGTGCTTGGTGGAATACAAATGCAGGAAAAGAGGCAGGTTGGTTTGAAATCGAACGCTGGTTTGTTGAGATTCATTCAGCTCATGACACAGTCTAGTACGTGTGATAAGATTTGACCAGAAAGACGCCAAGTAATGTACTTCAGCTGCCGGTACGTGGTAGAGAAAGCATAGCTGTCCTCATTGGATGTGGATCATTGGCAAGTAGCAGTGGGAGGCAGGACTCCTTGAATAGCCAACTCCCCATTCTTCAATCTTTGAGGACCTGAAAAGGGATAGAGGTGTGAATGCCTGTACATAGTTGTGCCTTGGGATGGGAAACCCTGCATATGAATTCAGCTATAGGTGGACACTTTCTGCTCTACCAGAAAAAGTGAAGGATAACGGAAAAGTAGGGAAGTAAAGAGCATGAAGCTATTTCTGCTCTGCCTTCTAGGTCTTCTGCAAGTGCCTGAGAATATTTAAGAAGGAATCATGTGTAACTGGACGAGACTGCACCACCTCTTTTTTATTTCTTCAAGTAGACATGAACAAAATATTGTTTTATTTTAATGAATCTGAGCAGCACTTTCTTTCAGGCTCCTGTAGGGTGAGAGTGGGATCAAGAAAAGAAATATATCTGGTGTAATAATACGAGATCTGCCATAAAATGGCTACTTTGACATCTTGCTTTTTTGATATCAAGTACCCTTGATATAATATAGTATGGTATGGCATGGCATGGCATGGCATAGCATAGCATAGGATTATAATTTAATTTAATTTAATATATATAACTCCAGAAGGTGAACATACCTAATACTTCAGCCCTTTATTTTTACCACAACAGCAACCCTGTGAGGTGGCATGGGTTGAGAAGAGTGAATAGCCCAAGGTTGCAACTGTTTTAATAGATACACAATCACCACAGAATTTGAATACAAAAATTTGGAATAGAAATTGTTCTCTCTCTGCTCATTTACATGTTACTGAAAATAAAAGGGAAAGGGAAATCTGAGAAACAATCAGGTAAGATGAGAGAGACCATATTTCTATTAATTTTACCACAGATATTTTTTTCCAAAATTAGCACTCATGTTTTATATAATAGTTCTTGGTTAAGATGTGAATATTGTTCTATACTATTCTTAAATTATATCTCTCTCTAGTAGATCTGAAGTATATAATTGTACATGCACAGGCAGATAATAATGATCAATATGTGCTGGTATGTAAGTAATTACATACCAGTCTCTAAAAATAATTGGTGCCATGTCTTAGTATATTATTAAAATACTTTCTAAAAAGCAATGAAAATGAACTCGGAGTGATCTAATTGAAAGAGAAAATTATATGTAGAAAAACTTTTTAAAAAGTGTATTACTTTGATAGTGACATGGTGATTTTACTAACTCTACCTCTTGTTAATAATTGTTTCGAAACAGACTTTTTTGGCCATAGATATTGCATGGATGTTCTATAGGAGATTTAGACAGAAGGGTTGTACAGTATTTCTTGATAACATAAATTGATTTGTTATCAATTAACAGAAAAATATAAAATCATGCTACTAACCTTATGTTACATTATATAATCCTGCACTATTACATTGCATCAACTTATGATACAACAACCAATATCACTGTACTATATGATATGGAGTATGGGATCAAATATGAGACATATCTGTACTATTATGCTTTATTATAATGTTTATATAGTTCATAATAATTCATAATCATCAAAATATCATAATTGTGCTGCCAAAGTCTTTCCCTTTAACACTCCATAAAAGTGAAAAGTAGATTTTTAAGAAGTAGGATAGAAAGAGTAGTGACCTTTTTTTGAACTCTGGTGTCTGAGAAGACCCATGAGAACTTCATGAATAATGAAGAAAACAAGCCAATGGCTCATAGAATAAATCAATGCATTCTCACTCAAGGCAGAAATGGTCATATTATTGTATTTTAGATACATTACACAAAGATTTATCTCACAGAATTAAGAACTCTTATAATGCTGGGAAAGATGGAAAGTCAGAAGTGGATAACAATCAGCATCAAGCTGGATGGATTCAAATAACAATGGGAATGGGTATGCAATGGGAATATTTGAAGGACTAAGATG